ACATAACATTTCCACATGTCAGCTCTGTTTTATTTATGTTGTAGCTGAGGCTGAAATATGACTGGCTTTAAAAAAAATGTTAAGACGTGAATACATTTATCAATCAACAGTTGCCCAGAATACGTTTTGTTTCAATCCTGTCTAATTAAATCAGGTGTGCATATTTTAATAACTTAATCAAAATCTCAACCCAAAGGTGGACTTGTCTGTCTGAGGACATCAGAACAACTAAAGTGACAAAATAATTGCTAAAAGGCAAGAAGAGCAAAATAAATCAATCATTTTCCACATTGACAGATCCTCCTCCACACAAAATTAGTACTACATATAAAAAAAAACAACGAGGGAGAAAAGAAATGAGAGAAATCGATCATTGATATGTGTGTGTGGATAGTGTGACCGACTGTAAGAGAAACATGAGATTATAAATATAGTTGGGGGGCGGGGGCAGGAATTTATTAATGGCAGAAAGGGAAACTGAAACATAGCTATATTCTCATGTATGTTACAGGAAGCATGCTGATGAAGAACAAACATTTAGCTGCCTATTGTTTATTGTTGTTGTTTTGACTCCTGCTTTCCTAAAAACCAGGAAGCTGCACCTGTTGCCTCAAAGCTCCACACTGAGCCTAGTATGAAAAAAAAAGGTTTAAAGCTTCAATCGGACTTAAAATTCATAAATACAACTAGACTCCCAGCTCTGAGTCACAAGTTTTAAGTTCCCTTAACATTCTTAGTGTGGGGTCTCTGTGCCAGGCTGGCATAGTAGGCACATTGGGTAGGATCACACTGTCCAGCTGGACCCGGAGGTCCAGGTTGACCATGAGGTCCTGGATTTCCTGGTTCGCCTTGGGCTCCGGTTTGTCCTGGGCTTCCATCTTTGCCGTATCCAGGCATTCCAGCTGGACCTGAAGCAGCAAACGCAGAAGTTAGACACTTGACCTGTGCTGTTGGGAACCAGGACCCTGATGGAGCACTGAGGTGTTACCTATAGGACCAGGAGGACCTCGTTCTCCTCGTTCACCCACACCAGGATCTCCTTGCTCTCCTCTTGCTCCTTTCTCACCTGAATGAAAAAAATAATAATTATTTTACACATGTCCTGTTGTAGCACACGTGTAAGACCTCATATTTTAATAACAACACATTGATAATGTAATAAAATCAGGCTTCAAATGTAATAAACTCGCGCTAAAACCACATTACGTTATCACATTTTGCGGCAATTATTACAAAATCTGGTGCATTACGTAATAAACAATCAAAAACCAGTATTTCTGTTCATCCTAATCAATATACTTGTAATAACTGTCATGTTGCAAATACTACATAATTAAATCTTTATAACTTTGGTCAATAAACACAGAACTTCTCGTATTTTATTTGTTTTTTTTTTGTTTCTCATCTTGTTTCTGATTGTTTATTACATAATGCACCAAATTATTACACCACCACATTTTGTAACAATTGCCACAAAATGTAATAACGTTATTACATAATCGTTGAAGACTTTTATTACATTTTGCGCCAATTATTACATAATGCGGTTTTGGTGCGAGTTTATTACATTTTGAAGCCTGATTTTATTACATTATTACATAATGCGTTGTTATTACAAAATGAGGTCTTACAACACACGATACTGCAAAAAGCAAAAAAGTGCTTTAAGTGGTGAGCAATACTAGAAAACCTCTATATGAATACAGTCCATTTGAATTAATGCTCTTAAAAGTGCAAAAAGTGTAATTCACCCTTCATTGCAGTGGTAAGTGTCAGATATCGTACTGTAGTGTCCAAAGTGCACAGATGTGATGTCTCTTAGTTCTCCAGCTTCAGAGCTCAGCACATTTCACCATATTAGGGAAGGAATGTTTAAGGTATACCATGACAAGATTTATGTACATCTGTGAAAACCTATAAGGAGCCTTGTACGCCCCTGTTCCTGGCCTTCGTTCTCCATCTTTCTTACTTGGTGAATCATTTGGCTTGGAGGCCACAATTAGGTTTTTTTAGGCTGTAATCTCCTGAACTGCAAAATAAAGGTTCTTGCTGTTCAAACCAGCCTGTTTTCAGAGTCCTTCTTCATTGAGCAACAGCAGTTCAACTTCAACCAGAAGACGTGGTTTCTACACCTCAGTACCTAAATAATGAACTGTTAAGTGCAAACAATCCTGTTGTTGCAGTTTTATATTCAACATTTTAAAAGCTATTGTAAAACTCCCAACAAACAATGCCTCACATTTAATAACAGAATAAAACCATTAATACACAGAAGTGAAAGTAAAGATTTTGTGGGAAAATGTTGTAAGACCTCACCCCACACTCTGCAGCAAACCTAAAATCAAGGGGAATAGGGATTATGTTGTGGTGAGTAGGAATAATAAAAACCCCGTTTGAGTGGGGGCCTGTAAGGCTGCGTTATGTAATAATGTAATACAATATGGTTTCAAAATGTAATAAACCCACACTAAAACCACATTATGTAATAATTGACTCAAAAGGTAACGGAGGACGAAGCAAATGGAGCTAAGAACTCAGCTGAGTCTCTTAGAAACACAACCGTTTTGATGAGAACACATTGGACCTGATCTGCCAGACATGAGGAGCAGCAGAACAAAGTTTACATTTGATCTTTTTACATCAAGGCTAAGCTACCCTTGTCTCTGCTGCCAGTCACCTGCTCCATTTCTCAGAAACACACCAGGGCTTCCAGGTCTTTCTCTTACCTGTAGGGCCCATTGGCCCTCTGGGTCCTTCTCCTCCATTTTGTCCAGGCATTCCCGGCTCACCAGGGGGTCCTGGTCGTCCAGTGCTGCCATCCTTCCCAGGCGGGCCTGGAGGTCCTGGGCGACCTGTTGTACTCTTTACGTGGGCAGGTTGGATCTGACTCATGAGGTACACCAGTTTGGCTGAAGGCAAACCACATGTTAGCTTCATAGCATAAATTATTTAGAGTTATTTGAGATTAGACCAAATGTTTCCCCTCCAAATAATCCCTTCCTCACCATCTAATTGTTTTACCAGCTCCTCCTGAATGAGTCTTCTCATCTGCTCCAGTGACACAGACTCTCCCTGCAGAAACACAGTGTTCATCACTAACTGGTGGATCCATTAAACTCATGCTGCTGAGTGTTACTGACTCACCCTTGGTCCAGGCAGACCAGGGTTTCCTGAAGGTCCCTGTTGCCCTGGGGGTCCTATTTCACCTGGCGGTCCTGACATGCCCATCATCCCAGTGTGGCCCTTCCTGCCTGGAGGACCAGGGTTTCCAGGCATACCAGGCTCTCCAGATTGTCCTTTATCTCCTTTAATACCGTGGTCACCCTAAATTATACAACTTTTTATTTGTTTATGTTTTAATAATGGTTATTAAAAATAACAAGTTACATCAAGACAATGAGTGTGATAACAGGATCTGTGACAAATATATCAGACTGATAATTAAAGCTACTTAAAATTTATAAAAGCTAAAGACAATCAAATGTAAATAAAATTTAAATATTAATGGAACATTGACTGTATTTACAGTGTGCTTTTCCATCCAACCAGGATAAACAAAGTGCTTTACACTACTATCAAATATCTCAAAGTATAAAATACTTAAGTACCAAACGTCAGAGCTGGAATGTCCTGAACAAGCTGAGGGTTTGAGATACAAATTGTTGAAACAGCACAAAAATATGTGAAAAATATACAGAAGAAAATAATGGTCTCCTTAAAAATCCCATCAAGAATAGAGCCTTCCACTGTTTCCCTGCACGGAGGCACTAACAAGGTCCAAATCAACCGGGCCTGCTCAGTGAAGTACTTAGTTTGGAATATGCTGAGAACTGCAAATAAATAAATGATTCTTGATGTAAACATTGGCATCCATTTCTTAATGCTCACCTTCTCTCCCTTGAAACCACGTTCTCCTGCTCGGCCTGGTGTTCCCTAATAACAACACAAACAAGAAGAAAAAAATTAAAATATATCCCTACAGCTCAAGTTTTCAGGACGTGTCAGCTGTTTTTAAAAGTTCTTACCTGTTTCCCCTCAGGGCCAGTCGGACCAGGTGGACCCTGGAAGTCAAAGTATAAAATTTAATTACTCTTATTTTTTTTCTTTTTTAAAGAAAATGCTGACAATCTGCAGGCACTCACCGCTGGGCCCTTCGGCCCACTGAAACCTGGTAATCCTATGCTGCCAGGCTCTCCTTTGTCCCCTCTGAGACCCTGGATGACAGCAGAGACATGGCTCCATCACATGGATCATATTTGGCATGGTCTAACAACCTCATAAAAGTACCATACTGAGGATTCAACCGGGGGGGCCATGGCCCCCCCTGAGAACAAGCTGGCCACCCTAGTGGCCCCCCCAGAGTTATCCTCTTGTGTTCCCAGGTTTTTCCTTTTTCAATTCCCCTACCTATTTAGGAATATAAC